AGATCGAGGCCAGCCTGGTCTACATAGTAAGTTCCAGGACAGCTGGGGCTACAGGGAGACCCTGCTTCAAAAAGACAAAAAAAAAAAAAGTCAACCAGCCAAACCCTAAGGACTCCAGCTTCAGCCCGTCCAAGGGCTCAGGCCATTGTCCTTCCTTGCTGCCTGTGCTCAGTCGCAATGACTTCCTTCAGGCTTGCTGAGGAGGTATGGCCACCAGGCCCAGGCCTCACAGGCCCTACCCTGACTCTCTGCTGTGCACCCCCAAGTCTGGACTTGAACCCCTGCTCCCATAGCACCCTCCAGACTGCTCCATAGACATGTAGAAGGCCAGGAGGGCAGGCTGACACAGGGGTCAGTTCTGAGCCAAAGCACACATCTCTCCAGTCCCACACCACTCTCCCATCTCCCCTTGGGCCCCAACAGGAGGATGTGGGTCTGGGGTGGACTCTGACTCAGACATCCCAAGTGAACCTGGTTGGCAGATCCTCCTGGCCAGTTCCACGGTGGTCAGTGATGGCCATCTGACCTACTGACTAGCCAGGGGATGGGGAGATGTCAGATAGGGGTGCAGGGGCCTTAATGTCCCCTCCCCAAGTGGGTGCTATGTGATACAGGGTGCTAGAAAAGGGTCAGCCTGGAGTAGAGGGGCTCATGCTGCTGTGTGACCCCTGGGGAGCTTCTTGCCCTCTCTGGTCCCCAGCCCCTCCTGAAGACTAGCTGTCTCCACACCCTGGTCTCCAGCTGGTCCCCCTCCCTCTGGGTGCTGGGGTGATTTATGATTTGTGTCTGCTCAATGTGGCACTTCCTGGGAATCAGAGAGGGGACTACGGGCAAGGGGCTGGCCGGGGCTGCTGGCCACTCGGGGTTCATGCTGGGGAGGGCCCAGCCCGACTTGGAGCAATGGGTACAAGACCCTGGGTCTTGGAACTTGGGGGATTTGTGGCATTAGACTCAAGGACTGTGCCCCACCCCAGCAGTCACCTACGGCATGGGGGTCCAGGAAAGGGGTGCCCTGGTGGGGGAGGTGGGCAGGGCGGAGTTTGCCTCTTTGTTCTGATCTGCAGAGCTGCTAGTGTAGACAGGGGAGCTGGATCTCCCGGAGATCAGGTGACCGAGGTCCCTGGGGGCTCAGGGCACAGAGATGCATTGTGGGGCGGAGTGCTGGCTGACTTGCTCTGCAGGAAGGAAGCCCACCATGCAGGCAGGGAGGCAGGTGGCTACCACTGTCCAGTCACCTCCAGTCCCAGGCATCCAGTCTGCCAGGGGCCAGCCTCAAAGTGACTCCACCATTCAGCTCATGCCAAGGCCCCTGAGGGCTGTGGATAACCTGGGAGTGCAAGGCTCAGGGCAGTAGACAAGCAGGAAGGGATGCTGCCTGGGCAGCAAGGCAAGAGGGCGTGGTCTACCTGCTCACCTAGCTGGTCCTGCAGAACTGCCCCAGGCGGGAGGGTGGAGCTACAGGTGGGGGGGGGGGCGGAACCTCAGAGCACAGGGCAAACATTCAGAAGAGGCTGGAGGTGGGGCCTTGGGCCAGGGGCAGAGCCTTGAACCAGGGGAGGAGCCTCAGAGCCTAGCGCAAACACTCAGGCCTGGCCAGGAGGTGGAGCCACAGGCTGGGGATGGTCCACAGAGAGCACCTCAGAGGCCTGTACCCCCAACCCCCTTCTTCAAGACTTCCACCCCAGCAGCCCCAGCTGATCCACAATTGGGTTGTCTGGCTGAGGGGTGAGCAATCTCCAGGCAAGAGGGGACAAGGCCTTCCCTCAGCAGGTGGTGCCAACCCACCCCGGAAGGCACAAGGGCTGGAATGGAAGCAGGTCACAGGAGGGGAGAGCCCTGAGCCTCAAGCAGGGTAGCAGAAGGAAACCTGCATCTCTGAGCCCCACCTGTAGGCTCCTGGCTGAGGCAGGCAGAAGAGAGCATGGGCTGGGGGGTGGGGGGTCTCCTCACACAGTGAAATCCAGAAAACCTGAGGGGCTGGATGTGCACCCATGGGGCAGCTGCCCTCTCTATCCAGGAGCCTAAGGTTGCTCAGGCCATGCAGGTGCCCAGCTCGGGGCAGTTCCTGTGGCTAAGACCCCACTCCACTCCATACCCACTTGAAGCCTGGGTAGCTAGGGAGGGCTGGGGCTGTCTACACCACCAGAGGACCAGGTTCTGAACCATCTACACTGCCTGGTATTGTGGGAGCTGGCCTCACTGCACCGCAAATGCCTGTCTTTCTGCTTTGTTTAGATAAAGTTCTCATGAAGCCCAGGCTGTCCTCAAATTCTCTGTGTAGTCCAGGATGATCCTGAACTCTTGATTCTCCGGCCTCAGCCTCCCCCATCCCCTAACTGGGATGACAGTGTATAACCATGCCTGATTTCTGCAGTGCTGAGGATGGACACAGGGCCTTGTGTGTGCTAGACTAGTGCTCTGTCCAGTTAACCACCTACATCCTCAGCCTAAGCTGCCCCCCACTACCCCAGCAAGATCTTCCTCTGTAGCATAGGCTGGGCTGAAACTCACCATCCTTCTGCCTCAGCCTCCTGAGTGCAGAGGCAACAGGTGTGCAAGGCCACACAGGGTCTTAACGTATTTTAAGCCCTTGTGGCCTGGCGCTGCGGTGACTGGCCCCCATGGGGACTCTGCGGGGTACCCCCCCGCCACTCACCCAGCTCGGTGGGCTTCAACAACTCATCCAGCATGTTGAAAAAGGGCAGCTTCACCAGGCGCACCTCAGGTTTGAGGGCTTTGGTGGGCAGTCGCCCCAGTCCATTTAAATACTTCCCGTAGAGTGCAGGGTAGTCCACGGCAGGCCCTGACAGGGCAGTCCTGGGCACTGAGTGCAGTGCCAGGGGCTCGAGCGGCCGAGTGGCTGGTGTCGGGCCCGGCTCTGCGCTCTTCTTGGCATAGCGAGTCTCATAGAGTTCCTTGATCTTCTTGAAGAGCTCAGGGCTGCAGTCGAACTGCACCAGCTGCAGTGCCCGTGTAACCAGCTCATGCTTCAGGCCACTCTTGCTGCGGCCCACGAAGCCTAGCAGCATCTGGAGGTCGGATACTCGGAAACTCATCACCATGTTCTGGGAAAGAGTAACCACAAGGCTCTCAGGGGGGACAATGTCCCCAGGACCCCACCCATCTCCCCCTGCTGCCTGCTGGGGTGGGAACATGCAATTCTGCTCCACCCTGCAGGCCAATGGTGACAGCCTCTTGGCTCCTGAGGAGGGTGGGAAGCACGGGGGTGGGGTGGGGGGGTGCCACATCAAATACCCTTCAGGGTGAACATTGGATCAGTCCTGGCCACAAATGCACTTCCATCAGTCCATGACCAGGCTTTGCCTTGTCCTAAACCGCCAGGGAGATGTGGGTGTGCAGCTGCATTCTCAGCTATCACCCCAAGACACCCGTGCCAGGAGGCTCGAGCTCTGAATTCCAGGAATGGAGGGTGGGATTGGGACCGAAACCCTGCCTGGCTCTAAAGCTATGGGAAATCCCTCCCTGACTCCCCCACAGGAACTGACCCAGACCCAGAACCATCTGCTGGACTCAAGCAGGGTCCCCTAACACTGGGGACTCAGCCAGGTCATTCTGAGGGGTGTCCTGGGCCCTGCAGGTTGATAAGCATCATCTCTGGCTTCCATACCCACTCCATACCAGCAATCCCCCAAGTGTGATGTAACAGGTCCCCAGATGTTACCAAATGCCTAGGAACAGGGCAGGCCTGGCTGAGAATGAGTGGTCATCGGAATGTGGAACTGCCCTGGTCACCACCAGTACAGTGAGTGACCAGTGAGGCTGGGCAGGACCTGATGCAGTGACCTGCCAGGGTCCCTTGGGCTAAATAATACCAACCAGAACTCAGTGGATTCCAGGATGTGACCTGGGCACTCTGGGATCCCACGATCGGTGGGTCAGGCCCTGATGGGACAGGCCAATAGGGCCTTGGGGAGTCCTGTGCTAAGCCCTGTGGCTGGCCTGGAGTGAATGAAAGCCAGGAGTGGGAAGGGACTTCCAGGGGACCTGATGGGTCATGGGCCCCAAAGATGCTATCTGAGGCTGCTAGAAGCCCACTTGACCAGCATGAGGGCCTAGGTGGCCTAGAACCCACAGGGTGTCTACACAGTGGCCTTGGTCCCTGGCCACTTGGAAGACATGATCTTGAGATCAAGAGCAGTGTCCCAGGGGGCCCTGAAAACCACCCAGGACTTGGAGTGTGAGTTACTCCAAGGCGGTCTGTCCCCACTATGCAGACTGAGGAAAACTGAAGCTAGGAGTACGGCATGACTGGCCCAAGGCCTCCCAGGTGCAGGTTGGAGCTCAGACTTGTGGTCACTGGGCTCCCTGGCAGCCTGCAGGCCTGGGGGAGACTCTGGCTCACAGCACACCCACTCTACACTGAGGGACCTTCCTGTTCCCATGATGTGGTCTTGTCTTCCTACCTGTTATAGAGGCAAACAGCTTGTGGGTAGCAGATTTGTTCTACATTAAGCTCAGGCCCTTAGGAGTGGGGAGAGGGGAGAGGTGAGGTTGGATGGTCCAGTCCGAGGCAGGGGCCTGGTAGCCCCCAGATGTCCCTATCACCCAAGGGGAATGGTGAGCATCCCAGCAGCCCTGTCGCTGCCAGATGGTCTCAGTTGGGTTCCTCAGCAGCTGCCACGCCTGAGCAGCCTGGCCTGGACAGCAGGCCACAAGGACAGGAATTAGTTCCCATCTATAGCCCCAAGAGCACTTCTTGCCCTGGCACAGGTGCCAGGGCCTGTGTACAAACAGCAGCCCTGACGGTTTCTAGAGCTTTCAGCTTGGGGCCGGCTGAAAGCCCGACAGCACAGACCCAGACAGGAGGCAGCAGCGTCTCCAGCCCTGATTTTTCTGAAACCTGAGATCCCCAACACTGGGGTGAAGTCTGCAGGCTAAACCCTAAGCTTGCGCTGCAGGGGTCTCCAACCAATGGTCCCTCAAGTCCATTCATCAACAAATCCCACCAGCTCCTGTGCACCCCAAAAGTCATAAAGAATGCCTCACCTTTGTGACAGACTGGGGAAACGTTACTGAAAATGTGGGTCTCCATCATATACAAGGCACTATGAGGGAGTTCACCAGAGACTTTGGGTTGTGGCGGTCCCCACACCCTAGGGTCTTGAAAGAGATGCTCCAGCCCCGAGCCCCCCAGGAGCAGCAGAAGTTCAACATGAAAGGAACTCCAAAGAAAAGGGCAAGTTCAATTAATTAGGGGGAGGGGGGACCTGGTCACCAGAGGGTCATGCAGAGTCTCTCAGCTCATATTTCAAGGACCAGGACAGTCAAAAAGGGATTACAGCCCCTGCCCTCTGTAGGCAGAAGGCGGGGTGCAGAGGCAGAGCTCCCCCTACCACCCTGTACTCCTCAATGTGACATTTTAGGGATGGAGGGACTTCAGATAACAAGTCTCGGAGCCTGAGAGTTCACAGCCCCCATCCCCCATCTTGAGACTCTGTTTCCCAAAAGCCTGGTTTTGCATGTGGTGTAGGTTTGGAGTGAGTGGACAGGGAAAGAGGGGTATACCCTATTTCGGAACCTCCAGCAGGTCCCAGTGGGGACAGAAGAGCCCTATAAAGACACAGAGGCAGGAAAGGAAGAAAAGAAAAACCCAGGCAGGTCAGGACCTTATGGGCAGGAAGACCCACAAGGGGTACTAGGATCCCCCAGCAACTAGGATGGACACATGCTGGAGCCTGGGCTGGAAATCAACTGGGATAACGATGTTCCAAGCCTCAGGAAAGCTCAAAAGGGAACCAAGGGAGAGAGGGGACAAAGCCTTGGTAAATGGGGGCAGGAGGCTAAAGAGGCCTCCCCTAAACTCAGTCAATCAAGGGACCCAGCAAGAATCAATCTAAGAGGGTTAGAGAGCTGGCTCAGTCCTTTAAGTGCATTGGCTGCTCTTGCAAAGGTCTCAGGTTCGGTTCCCAGCACCCACAAGGTACTCACAACAGTCCAGTTCCAGGGGATCTAATGCCCTCTTCTGGCCTCCATGAGCTTTGCACACACATAGTGCACTTTCATACTAGACAACATTCATATATAGAAAACAAATAAAGCCAGGTGTGTTAGTGCACACCTTTAATCCCAGCACTCCAGAGGCAGAGGTAGGCAAAACTCTGTGAGAGGCCAGACTAGTCTACACTGTGAGTTCCAGGACAGTTGGGGTTGCAGGGAAACTCTGTCTCAAAGAAAGAATATATATATATATATAATAAATAGAAAAAAACAGAAAACAAGGGGGTGTTGACCAAACACTCCTAACCAAAAATGAAGTCAGAGGGTTGGGAAGGCAAGGGATCAGCCAGGTGTCAGTACCCAAGTGTCACCAGGGGGGCGGGGTTTGGAGACCCAGACACTCCAAAAGGAACTTGGGCATTCATAATTGAGCTGGGTAATAAAGTCTGACTTGTCCAGTTATGACCGTATCAGTAAGGGACCCCCCCCAAAGAATCAGGGGACCTGTGACACTACAAGTAGACCTACCCCAAGCTGACCTGCAGGGGTGTAGTGTATGTATGGGGGGAGGTAAGGGGACCCAGACCTGAGGACTCCTGGTTGCCATGGAAACGGGATGGAGCAGTCGCTCCCTGAATCCCTGGGGCTTGGGGACTACACAGGGACCTTCCCCTCAGCACTTTTCCCAATAGGGCTGTGCTGAAGACGGAGACGGTACTTGGAGTGGTGTCCTCAAGGTGTAGAGACCCCAATATCGGGTCGGTGGCGCAGGGGCAAGAGCGGGATGGGGACACCAGGGAGAGGGAGCTGAGGACCCCGCCCCCGGTTCCCCGCCCCCCGCCGCACCCCGCAGCCGGCCTGCGCGGTCCGAGGATCCCGCAGAGCCACACCCCGCAGCGCCACCCCGAGCTCGTTTCGAGGCGCGTTCGCTACCCGGATAGCCGCCCCATGCCGGCTCCAGCCGCCGCCGCTCACTTACTTTGGCCTCCACCAGCTCCGCCGCCATCTTGGCCACCAGCGTCCCCCGCGCCGGGAGCCCCCAGCCGTCCCGTCACGTGACTGCTCTGCCCGGAGGGCGGGGCCGCAGGAACAGCCAATGAAAGCGGAGCGCTGACTCCTCCCCCACGACGCCAGCCGAGGAGCGCAAGGCGGTGTTTTGCGCATGCGCACGCGCAGGAGGTCCCGACCGAAACTCCAACCAATCACTACCTAGAGGTATCAGGCCACACCCCCCCTCGGCGGCTTTCATTGCGTCCGCCGTGGCCACGCCCCTTGGAGGGAGGGTGTAGTTTTTTAAAGGGATTGAAGCCCTTCCTGCTTCCTCTGGTTCCGTCGGTTAGAGGAGGCCGTCGTCCCGCTCCTCCGGGGGGAAATCCCCCTATTTTTTTTTTTGGTCTTTCAATTAAATTTATTTATTTATATTTATTCTTTGATTTATTTTTATTTTTACATCTATTTATTTATGTTTAGATTTATTTTTATTTTGTGTGTGTTTTGCCTGCATGTGTGTAAGTGCACCCGTGTCCCGCAATGCCCAAGGAGGCCAGAAGAGGGCGTCAGGTACCCTGGAACTGGAGTTTTGGACTATTGTTAGGCGCCATGTGGGGCTGGAACCCAATCAGGGTCCTCTGCAAGAGTAGCCAGTGCTATAAACCGCTAAGCCAGCTCTCCAGCCCTGCATTAACTTTTCTTTTTTCTTTTTTTTTTCTCTCTTTTTTGAGACAGGATCTTCCTGTAGTCCCCAGCTGGCCTGGAACTCACTATCCAGGCTAGCCTTTAACTCACAGAGGTCCTCCTGAGTGCTGGGATTAAAGGCGTGCACCCCCACGCCCGACCTTCTGCATTAGCTTCCTACAGGAATGGTAGCGCCTCCTTTCCGTTACACGCCTGAAGCCATGCCACATTTCAGTGGTTACTTTTTACTATACTTGTTACTACAGTTACTAATTTTCTGTTACTGTGTAGCACGGGGAGCGCACGTGTCTTCCACAGGGTGTATGCGGAGGTCAAGTGAGCTAGGGATCGAACTCACATCTTCAGGTTTGGAGGCAAGCGCCTCCATCCTTTGCCCTCACGCAGGCAACGCAAGAATGTGCGTGTATATGTGGGAGTGGGGTGCACGCCCCCACGGCTCCCGGGTCGAGGACAATTTGCTTCAGTTGTTCTCCCACCAGCGAATCAATATTTAGGTTCCTGGGATCGAGCTCATATTATCAGGCTTAGCGACAAGGTCCCACACCCTTTAAACCCGGTAGCTGGCTACTTCAAGGAGAACAACCCCACCCGAGCCTCGTTTTCAAAAGGGCTCCCGCGGGCCAAGCTCCCGGTGGCCACGCCCACTCCCGGCTTCTTAAATTTAGGCGTCCAGCCCCGCCAGAGTGCCTCATTTTCAGTGCCAAGTCCGTGGACACCCCATTTAAGGGTCTCTTAAAGACCCACAAGCTTCTGGCTCAGGGCCTCTTCTTCCGCATGCTTGCAGAGGCCACGCCCACTCACAATAGAGCTTTGGCTTCTTAAAGGCGTTTCATCCCCTCCCTGAGCCTCACTTTCATGGCCATCTGGGAAACCTTTCCCATCCTTGCAAGCTGTAGGTGGGGGGCGGGGGATGTCTTAAAGGCCGGAGCCTGGAATCACCGTGCGCCTGTGGGCGCCTGCCTAGGTCGAATCTGGAGGAGGAGGGACTGTGGACACTGCAGCGGCGATCGCAATGCATCTTGCAGCTGCAGTGATGGGATGGCCGAGGTGCAGATGGTTGCTCCTCCACAGCGTGCTGCAATGAGGTGCCTGGTCAGCAGGTTCCTGCAGGCCCGCATGCTGCATATCCGGATCCTGGACTATACGTGCATGTACTGCAAGGAACAAGGTGTACAAACTTGGAACCTCCAAAACCACAGTAACTCAAGTCATCTCATGGGAAGCTGAGACAGGAAGAGGGAGAGTTTGGAGCCAACCTGGGCTACATAGTAAGACCCTGCATCCAAGAAAAAAAATTAAACTATCTTTCTCCTTTTTAAGAGGTAGGAGAGGTTATCTTAGGGTTATAATCAAGTCTTTGAAGGCCAAACAATCTACATTAAAGTAAACCCCGGGCTTGCCAGGCTTCCTGGCCCTTGCGGTTAAGCCCAGCAGTTGGGAGTCAGAGGCAGGAGGATTTCTAAGCTCGAGGCCAGCCGGGTCTACAAAGTGAGGGACCCTACCTCCATGAATAAATAAATTAATAAGGGGGCTGGAGAGATGGTTCAACGATTAAAAGCACTGATTGCTCTTGCAGTGAACCTGGGTTCAATTCCCAGCATCCACATGGTGGCTGTCAACCATTTGTAACTCCAGTTCCAGGGGAACAGAGGCCTTCTTCTGACCTCCCAGGGCACTGCACAACATGGGTGCACTTACATACATTTAGGCAATACAATCATAAAATAAAAAAATTTTTTTTTCAAATATTTTTCTATTATTTTATTTATTTATTTATTTATTTTAATTTTTTTTGGTCTTTTTGAGACAGGGTCTCCCTGTAGCCCGAGCTGTCCTGGAACTCACTACGTAGACCAGGCTGGCCTTGAACTCACAGAGGTCCACCTGCCTCTGCCTCCCAAGTACTGGGACTACAAGCATGAGCCACCACGCCCTATTTTTTAATTTTTTTAATGTGTACGAGTGTATTGCCTGCATGTAAGTGAGTACACCCGTGTCGTGCAATGCCGCAGAGGTCAGAAGACGGCATCAGATTCCCCTGGAACTGGAGAAAAAAAAAAACTTTTTTTTTTTGGTCTTTTTTTGAGACAGGGTCTCCCAGTAGCCCCAGCTAGCCTGGAACTCACTATGTAGACCAGGCTGGACTTGAGTTCACAGAGATCCGCCTGCCTCTGCCTCCCGAGTGCTGGGATTAAAGGCGTATGCCACCACGCCCGGCGCATCACAAAATATTTTTTAAAAAGTAATAAACGGGGGTCTGGAGCGATGGCTCAGAGGTTAAGAACACTGGTTATTCTTGCAGAAGACCTGGAATCGTATCCCAGCACCCACATGGCAGCTAACAACTGTCCATAACTCCAGTTCCAGGGGATCCGACAGCTTCTGTCCTCTGCGGGCATTGCACGACACGGGTACACTTGCCTACACGCAGGCAATACACGCATACACATTTTTTTTTTAAATGTAATAAACGGGCTGGAGAGTTGGCTCAGCGGTTAAGAGCATTTGCTGCAGTTGCAGAGGACCCAGATTCATTTCCCAGCACCCACATGGTGCCTGACAACTGTCTGTAACTCCAGTTCTAGGGGATCAGACACCCTCTTCTGACCTCCACAGGCATTGCACGACATGGGTGCACTTACATACATGCAGGCATAACACTCATAGACATAAAAAATTAAGAAAAAAATTAAAAGTTTTTTTTTTTTTTTTTTTTTTTGGTCTTTTCTGAGACAGGGTTTCCCTGTAGCCCCAGCTGTCCTGGAACTCACTATGTGGATCAGGCTGGCCTTGAACTCACAGAGATCTGCCTGCCTGTGCTTTTCGAGAGCAGGGATTCAAGGTGTGCGCCACCACGCCTGGCTTAAAAGTTTTTTTAAAGTAATAAAGACTAAGACTCTGTACAGCCCTGCCGGGTGTGGTGGCGCATCCCTTGAATCCCAGCATTTGGGAGGCAGAGGCAGGCAGATCGCTGAGTTCCAGTTCGAGGCCAGCCTGGTCTATAGAGCAAGTTCCAGGCCAGCTGTGGCTAGATTCACCTCCTGTACTGCTAAATAAATTTTTGTTTTTTTGGTCTTTTTGAGACAGGGTCTCCCTGTAGCCCCAGCTGCCTTGGAACTCACTAGACAAGGCTGTCCTAGAACTCACAGAGATCTTCCTGCCTCCAAAATGCTGGGATTAAAGGTGTGTGGTAGCACACCCAGGCTCATTTGTAGTTTTTGAGATATGATCTCACTCTCTAATTCTGGCTAGCATGGGACTCATTAGGTAGACCAGGCTGGCTTTGATTGGCAGCAATTCATGTCTCAGCCTTTCAAGTGCTGGGATTATAATTGTGAGCATCCTGCCTTTCTTCTGTAGAAGTTTATTTAAGTCACAAGATAAGAGGCAACAGGTGTTTATTATAGGGTAAAGTGTAGCATGTTCAGGACTAGGAGTGGGCAGTGGCCAAAGGAACATTGAATCCACCAGGTTTGTGTTTTGTTTTTTTGTTTTGATGGGAGATGTGTTTTTTGAGACAGAGTCTCCCTGTAGCCCCAGCTGGCCTGGAACTCACTATATAGACCAGGCTGGCTTGATCTCACGGTAACCTGCCTGTGGGTGCCTCACAACTGCTGGGGTTAAAAGCATGCACCACTAGGCCTGGCCCCTCCACTAGTTTGAAAGTGGTATATTTCAGTAAAATTTTCACTAATGTATATTTATATTTTCGGACTTTTATTTTGCTTTTCTGAAGTACTGAAATCCCAGCACTCAATGCCACCACTAGCCCACCTACATACTTTAAGTCATCTTTCAACAAATAATAAGTACTAGCTTAGAGCACTGGCTGCTCTTGCAGAGGACCTGAGTTCGGTTCCCATACCCACACACAGGTAACAACTGTTGGTCACTCCAGTTTCAGGGGCTCCAACATCCTCTTCTTGACCTCTGCAGAAACTTTACACACATCACACACTCACACACACACATACATGTAGGCAAAACACTCATATATATAAAATAAAAATAAAAATAGGGGCTGGAGAGATGGCTCAGTGGTTAAGAGCACTAACTGCTCTTGTAGAGGACCCAGATTCGATTCCCAGCACCCACATGGTGGCTACAAACCGTCCTTAACTCCAGTTCCAGGGGAATCCGAAGCCCTCTTCTGACCTCCGAGGCATTGCATGACACAGGTGCACTCACATACATACAGGTCGGAGTTCACAAAAAAATCACCAGCACCATTTTAAGAAAAGTAGCAAGGTAAATTTTAATTTTCGACCAGCCAGGCTGTCCATCTCGGGAGTAGAAGCAGCTCTGATGATTGTCAGGTTGGAGTTTTTAAAGGGTTACTGAAATATTATTCAAACAGGACACTTGTGAACCAATCAGGTTTGTACAACATAGCAGAACTTTGAAT